TCCGAGTCCCGGTGGCGATCCGAACCTGCAGGAGGGAGATAAATTGAAACACGCCGGAGGTCACTTCCTGGGAGGGGCGGCGGGCGCGGCAGCTGCGCGGCTCGCAGCTCGCGGACCGTCGTCGGGCGGCGGCGCGGGAGCTTCCGGACGCACTCGCGCCCGGTGGTCGCGGGCCGCCGACGCCTCCTAGCCGCCTCCCGTCGTCGACCCCCGACTGCGCCCAAGAGGGCGGGGTGGCTCTGGGAGGGGCGGCGGGCGCGGCGGCCGAGCCCGCGGGCCACGGACGAACTCCCGCCCGCGGCCCCGCGGGCGCCCGCGAGGGGCGGCGCCTCGAGCAGAGGCTCGCCGCGAGCCCCCCCGTCTTCGCAGCAGCTCCCGACGGCGCGAATGACGCAGCGCGGCTGCCGGGCCGAGGGGCTCGCCGAAGTGCGCCGCCGAGCAGATCAGATCAATGTCGGCGTCGAGCCGCCGCGCTGAATCCAGGGCCGGGCCCGCCCAGGTCCCTCGCGTTGGAGCCCCAGGACCTCGCTGTCCGAAGGGGGGCCTCGCTCGCGATCGAAGGGGGACTCGCGTCGACGACGGGATCTCTCACTCGGGCGGCCTCCCCTCGCTCCGTACTCCTGGCTGCCCAGTTCGCTGTCAGATGGGCTGCTGCTGCTGCCTCGTCTGTTTCGCCGCGAGCTGCGCGACGGAGGCGTTGAGCCGAATAGTCGGGGACCTGGGCGGCCCGAGCAGGCCGAGCAGCACCGGGGGCGGCGCCGTGGCCCGCGGACGCAGCAGCCGGCCCATCCGCGCCGCTGGAGCCGTGGGGGCGGCTCCCTGCCTGTCGGCTCCTCTTGAGGTCCCCCTGGCGGCCTGCTCCTGGCGTACGCGGGGCGCTGCTGGGGCTCGACGGCCTGGATTCTCTTCGGGCGCGCGCTGCCTCTTCGTGCACGGCCGCTTCCGCGCGGCGTCTGCCTCCGCGCGGAGCGGCCCCGAGTTGCCGGTCGCCTCGCCGAAGAGCTCCCTGACCTTGCCTTGGAGCTCCGAAGCGAACCTCGCGCGGAGATCGCCCAGCGCCTCCCGGTCGCGCCCGTCGACACGCAGGCCCTCCGCCGAAAAGGCCGAGCCCGCCTCGAAGGTGAACTCCTCGCCATCCAACGTCTTCGCGAGGTCGCGAGCGCTGCTGGGGGGTCTGCTGGGACTGGCTTGTGAACGCCCCCCTTTTCAGGACGAGCCGCTGCCCTCGCCCTCTGATGCTCCTGCAGTGCCTCCTCGGCCTCGGATTGCGCCAGTGCGCGTAGGTAGGCCGCCTCCTCAATAGCCTTCCTGCGCTCGTTCTACCACTCCAAAGCTTTGCGCTCGCTTTCTGCCGCCTTCTCCAGAGCCAACTTGGCCCTCCTCTCTGCTGCCTCTGCCAGATTGTACGCCTCACGCGGCGGCTCCGCCGTGGGCAGCGCGGGAGGCGGGTCCAGCTTGATGGTGGCTAGGGTCTGGGCGATGTGTGACGCTGCCGCCTTAAGAGCTTGGAGCAAGTCTTCAGGTGACTTGTCAACGGCCTGCTTGTTCTACTCCCAACTCTGGTTGCCACGACGCTTGTTGTTGCTGCGTACGTGTCGGAACTTGGGCCAATCTGTTCACGATGACCAACCTGATTCCTCCGCCACAGCCCGCTGACGCCTTCTCTCCCAGAGTCCTTGCACAGGCGTAGACCTCCAGGGCGGCGGTAGCTCCAACACTTGGTTGCGGTTGAAGCGCGAGCCACATTCCCCAAGTCCACTTGCAACCACAGGCCCCGCACTTGGTGTATCCGTCCATGAAATTCGACTTCGCAACATTGTCAGCAGAACTCGCCAACCTCACCCGGCTGCAGGTGAGGTGCGCTCCACAACTTGCATTTCTAAATGATAGGTTCCAGCCTGGGGAGAACCGAACGGACGAAAGAACACTGGCCGTGGATCAGCAGTGTCCGTGTTGTCCACTGGGGAGCCTTGCGTATTGAGTCAACACTGTGAAGGACGGGGGGAAGGACGACGACGAGGGGGAGAAGGAGGAGGAGGAGGAGGAGGAGGAGGAGGAGGAGGAGGAAGAAGAGGAGGAGGAGGAGGAGGAGGAGGAGGGGGAGGAGAGAGATGAACTTGATGTTAATGGCTTAGGGGCACCTGAATCCCGTTGGTGGGTCCAGTTTCCTGGAGCATCACCCTGAAGGGCACGGTGGCCCGATGTATGGCGTGGCCTGGGGCCATCTGGGTCCATACCGCATGGGTTGTGCCAGCGAATCGTGACGGCCCAGGCACCGTGACCAAGGCACTGCGGCTCCAGTGCGGAAATGCATCTTGGTCCTGGCACCTACCAGGGCCGCGTGAGCTCGAAGGCGCCATCCTTGCTACCACAGCCCTTCGGCAGTGCGGGGGCGCACCCAACCACTGAGGGTCCGAAGATGCAGGGTGGAGCAGGATCTTGTGTGTGTGGGGGGGAGCTTGCGGACAAGTTGGCGTGGTGCGCCTGGACCGTGATGCAATGATCACCTTGGTGGTGGGGGTGGGGTTGGGACTGGGAGCGGGGGTGTGCACGATGTATGGCGGCCTTTATGTCCACCTACCTGGTCGCACTCCCGCGTGCGAGATACGTGGGAGTGTGTGGCGGCATCCAGGTTTGATAAGGCGCTCGGTGGGGGAGGAGGGGAAGGGATGGGGTAACTAGGATGACGCCGAGAGAGAGTGACGGGCAAAGGGGTGACTTTGTCTCACAAGGACGGGGAAGGAATAGGGGGAGGCGTACGCGAGGAAGAGGGGGAGGGGGAGGGGGCGGTGGGCGCCATGGGGTGGGGGCCGAGTGGCAGGGGAGGTCCGCTGCAAATGTCGGACCGGTGGAAACGATAGACAAATTCAACATGGGAGCGGCCAAGCACACGAGCGGGCGCGGCCCGTGGCAAAAGGCGAGCGGGTAGGCGAAAGTAGCTCGGGGCTTCGAGAATGGCTGTCCTTGCCGCCATCTTATTTCCTGGAGGTATCTGCCTCTTTCGCAAGTGCGTGGGGTGTCGCGAGGCCGCGCAATGGTGAGACAGCCGGTTCGGAACGACATGCGCTCAGGACCGCCGGCGTTGCCTCCAGACTGTCCTGGAGTCGAATGCCTCGATCGACTACAGGACCGCCGGCCTTGCCGCCAGACTGTGTCCTGGAGGTGTCTACCTCTTCCAAAAGCGCGCGGAATACAGCGAGGCCGTGCCATGGTGCCGCAGGCGCTAAGGATCGACATGCGCTCAGGACCGCTGGCCTTGCCGCTAGACTGTGTCCCAGAGGCGAATGCCTCAATCGACTACAACACCGCTGGGCTTGCCGCCAGACCGCGTCATGGAGGTATCTGCCTGTTTCGCAGGCGCGTGGAATACAGCGAGGCCGTGCCATGGTGAGACAGGCGCTACGGTACGACATACACAGGACCGCTGGCCTTGCCGCCAGACTGTGTCCCAGAGGCGAATGCCTCGATCGACTACAAGACCGCTGGCCTTGCCGCCGGACTGTGTCCTGGAGGTATCGACATCTTGCGCAGGTGCGTGGGGTGCGTCGAGGCCGTGCCATGGAGACGCAGGCACTACGTCACGACATACACACAGGACCGCTTGCATTGCTGCCCGCTTGTGTCCTGGAGGCGAATGTCTCGTTCGACTAGGGGACCGCTGGCCTTGCCGCCAGACTGCGTCCTGAAGGTATATGCCTCTTTCGCAGGCGTGTGGGGTGCAGCGAGGCCATGCCATGGTGAACCAGGAACTGGATGTGCAGGATAGCATGGGAATGCTGGGGCATGACCGCGAGGGGGGTCAAGGTCAAAGGGGAGGCCGATGGGCGACAGACCTTGAGAAGGGGCTCGGTCCTACATGCAGAGGGCAGACCCGCTGCACCCGCGGGCGCATGACTGAGGGTAGGGAGAGAAAGACGGGGACGGGGGAGGGGGGGCGGGCGCGAGGGAGAGGGAGAGGAAAAAGACAACGGGGGAGGGGGGGGGGGGGGCGGCAGACGCCACGGGTTGGGGGACGCGTGGAAGGCGAGGACCTCTGCAGTTGCCGGAACGATGGGAATGGTAAGCACTTTTAACATGAGAGCGACCAAGCACAGTGAGGGGCGGTGGCCCACGACACCATGCGAGCGAAAAGGGGCGTGTAGCGCACAGGCTCGTGGATGGTTGGCCGTGCCGCCAGACTGTGTCCTGGAGGTGCCTGCCTCTTTTGCTGGCGTGCGGGGTGCAGCGCGGCAGTGCCATGGGGCACAGGCGGTAGGGAACGACATACGCTCAGGACCAATGGCCTTGCCGCCAGACTGTGTCCTGGAGGCAAATGCCTCAATACAGGGCCGCTGGCCTTGCCGCCAGACTGCGTCCTGGAGGTATCTACCTCTTGCGCCCGCGTGTGAAGTAACACGAGGCGCTGCGGAACGACATGCGCTCGGGACCGTTGGCACTGCCGCCAGACTGTGTCCTACGGTGACGCAGGCGCTACGGGACGACAAGCACTCAGGACCGCTGTCCTTTTCGACAGACTGTGTCCTGGAGGCGAATGCCTCGATCGACTTTGCCGGTGTCGCCCAGGCTCCCTGACTCTTGGGGCGGTTGTGCAGGTGATCGTCGGGTGCGCGCGGATCGCACACCCTTACCGGCGCCCCATGCGTCCTGCACCACCTCCGTGCCAAGGGTTGCGGTAGCCATCGGCATGAGGAGGGGGGAGGAGGAGGAGGAGGAGGAGGAGGAGGAGGAGGAGGAGGAGGTGGTGGTGGTGGAGGAGGAGGAGGAGGAGAAGGAGGTGGTGGTGGAGGAGGAGAAGAAGGAGCAGGAGAGAAGGATGAGGAGAAGGAGGAAGAGAAGGAAGGGAGGAGGAGGAGGAGGCGGAAACGGAGGCGGAGAGGGAGGAGGAGGAGGAGGAGGAGGAGGAGGAGGAGAAGGAGGAGGAGGAGGAGGAGGAAGAGGAGAAGGAGGCCGAGAAGGAGGAGACGGAACACGAGGAGGCGGAGGCGGAGGAGGAGGGCAGCCTTCGGCGGAGCCCCGCAGGCGCCGCACCCGCGCCCGCAGCGAGCCGAGCACGCCAGCGTCCACAAGGTTGCCCCGCGGCCCCTGCTGGAGGCGCTCCGACAAGGACCAGCGGCACTCGGGGGCCTCGATCTGGGCAGCGCGGCGGTCGACGAAGCCCTGCGGCCGGGGGAGGGGGTCTCCGGGCGAGGCTGCCGATGCATCCTGCTTTCAGCTGCCCCGACGTGCAGCCCGTGGCGTGACACGGAGCTCAACACGTACGGTCAGGAACTTTTGCATAGCGTGTCACCACGGCGGCCCCGGCGACACGCTGGGCCTTGTGAGCGGGTCGCGTGTCGCTCCGCTCCGCGGGGGGGAGCCTCGGAAAGACTCGGGAAATTGACTCTCGGGGACCTAGAAGTGGATAGCGTGTCGCGCCGAGGCGTGGTGGGCCAGAACCTGCGGCGCGACACGCTATCCAAAAGGTCCCGACCGTATATCCTTGACTTCCTCGCCCTCGTTCTTCTCCTGCTCCTGCGCCAAGCTCTGGTCCTGCTCCTCCTCCTCCCCCTGGTGCTCCTTCTCCTGCTCCCGCTGCTGCAATTTCCCGCCTCGTCCTGCCCCCTCTTCTCTCCTCCTGCCTCCCTCTCCCCCTCCCCCGACAACCCCAGACAGGCGCGCCCCCTGTGCAGTCTTCAAGCAGAACCAGAACGACGAGAGGGCCAGTCAACGGTAGGGGAACGCCAAATTACGAAGGACAACGGCCCGGAGAAGAAGGGAAACGATGGGGGGATGACGGCTCAAGTGAGCTGGCATAACTCCGGCGACTAGGACGTATATCCGAGCCGCGAACCAGACAGTCGAACATGCACATGACTGCTTCTCCTCCTCCTCCTCCACCACCTCCGCGCCCGCCTCCTACTCCTCCTCAGCCTCCTCCTCCGCATCCTCTTCAAGCCGTCCTCCTCAATCTCGTCTCCTCCTCCCACCTCCCCTCTCTCTCCCTCCTCACCAGTCTCCCCATCCTCCGCCATGCCCGCCCCTTCCCTCTCCCCCTCCCTCTTCTCCTCTGCCTCCTCCATTTCCTCCTCCTCCCCCTCCTTCGCCTCCTCCTCCTCCTCCTCTTTCATATCCTCCTCGTTTCTGGGAAAGAAAAGAGAATGGGCCACGTTGTGTGCACAACAAGAGCCGAGGCCCCACTTCTCCGGAAGGGGGGCCACACCGCAAAAACGCACCAGCGCGAAGGAACAAGGAGCGGGAGTCGGCGTCGCTAACACAGGTCGGGAGTCACCGACGGCGACGGCGACGGCGAAAACGACAACGACGTCGCCTCCGAAAACCGTGGCGGAGGGAGATGGGGAGCAGGAGACAACAGACGTGCGCTCGCTCGTTGGACAGCTCCCCCTGGAGCTTGCCTGATCTCCGACGTCGTGATTTTTCACGGCGTCGACCCCCCAGAGGTCCACATTCCTTCCCTGGGACCGTTCTTCTTGATCTCGAGCCGCTGTTTGGCGGCCCCAGGTGCCTGGCAAGGGCCTCCAGAGGCCGAAATCTGCGAAGAAGCTGCTGCCGTGTTTTTTCCACTAGGCGGCGTGCCCGGGGGGGGGGGGGAATTGAGAAGGGGCGGGCCTTCTCAGAAGGCTCGGAAGTCCCCCGGACTTCTAAGAAGCTTTCTAGGCCTTCCTCGAAGACACATAAAACCTCTCAGAAGGCGCGAGGGCTTGTGAGAAGTCCCGCCGCCTTCTGAGACGGCCTTCTCCTTCTGATTTCCCCCCTGCGCCCGCCGCCGATCCACAACGAGAAGAAGTGTGTGTGTGTGTGTGTGTGTGTGTGTGTGTGTGTGTGTGTGTGTGTGTGTGTGTGTGTGTGTGTGTGTTTGTGTGTGTGTGTGGTGGGGGAGGTGCGGGGGGGACATTTTCCCCAGGAGCTCCGGGCGCTCTCTGGAGCGCACGGGGTGGGCGGCGATCAGCGCGGCGGCATCCTCGTGGCGGACAAAGCGGGCGTACGCGCTTCCCGTAGGCCTCTCGCGGTGCTCGAATGCGGGCAGGAGGCAGAAGTAGGGAGGAGGAGGAGGAGGAGGAGGAGGAGGAGGAGGAGGAGGAGGAGGAGGAGGGAGGAGGAGGAGGAAGAGGAGGAGGAAGAGGAGGAGGAGGAGGAAGGAGGAGGAGGGAGGAGGAGGAGGGAGGAGGAGGAGGAGGAGGAGGAGGAGGAGGAGGAGGAGGAGGAGGAGGAGGAGGAGGAGGAGGAGGGAGGAGGAGGAGGAGGAGGAGGAGGAGAGAGGAGGAGGAGGAGGGGGAGGAGAGGAGGAGAGAGAGGAGGAGGAGGAGGAGGAGGAGGAGGAGGAGGAGGAGGAGGAGGAGAGGAGGAGGAGGAAGGGAGGAGGAGGAGGAGGAGGGAGGAGGAGGAGGAGGAGGAGGAGGATTCGGTGGACATTTTTGGACTCTGTGTAAAGCACAACGCGCTGAGAAAAAGGGAAAGAGAGGGGAGGAGGGAAGATAGCCATAAACCCCAGAGGCGACCCTGAGGGCCGCCCCCTTCCCCCAGCCATCCCCCCCCTCCACTAGGAGGGTGGGGAGGGGCCGCCTCAAACGGCGGGGTGGTTTCTGGCTGTCGCTCAAGCTCAGCACGATGTGTAGCTGCGGACAACACCCGCGCGTGAACGATGTCTCGCGCCAACCTCGAGGCGCCATAATAAGAAGGGAAGGGCCCCCTCTTAATGCGCCCAAAATTCACCCGGCCTTTGCGAGTGATTGGAAGGTACTCATGAACGAGCTGGCGGCCATCCGTAGTGGCCGCGCGACCACATTTAACACACAAAAGTGCAAGTCATGCAAATCCCAATGGTCCAAAGAATAGGATCCATGAAGGAAGACCCCGCGCACCTCCACGGGACCCCAAACCTGGAGGACCACGTCCCTGGGAAAATCCGCCAAGACGTTTGAAACACAACTGGTCTTACAGACATCAAGAATGGATTCCTTGGACGTGAGAGACCCGCACTTACAGCAACGAAGAACCGTGCCAATCGCCCCAACGCGGTGGGCGGAATTCCGAACGGCGACCTCTAATTTGGAGCCCCTCCTAGCCACCTCAGGGCTAGCGCAGGCTTTGTTCAAGGGGTCATTTCGAGGATCGGCAGCGGCAGCATCCGCAAGGCCCTTCGGGCCTTGCGCCGCACCAAGGCAGCGGTGGCATCTCAGATATCAGTCTTATGTTCAGAGCCGACCAGACGGAAAGACCAGGACGTGGATGCTGCCTCGACAGCCGTTTCGTCAGCCAGCCTGTTGCCAGCCGCCAAAAACTGTTCATGATCACGTGATTCGGGATTGTCCTCATGACGTGGGCAGGAGGAGGAGGAGGAGGAGGAGGAGGAGGAGGAGGAGGAGGAGGAGGAACAGTGTCATGAGTGTCATAGGTCCAATAACTGAACGGCGAACGAGGCTCAACCGTCACCCTCGGCCTCCCGGACAAGAGGAAGGGGCCCGCAGGCGCCAGCACCGACGGTCAGAGGAAAGGCAGATACCTCGTCGCTCAGCGACTCGCTGCCCAACCGAGACGGCGTGGTGCGTAGGGGGACAGCCGGTTCACCGCGTCACCGCGCAGTACTTCCCGACCGTCACCCCTGCCGAATCGGATGGCATGTGCAACTGGGTTTGTGCCCCAGGGTGATCGGACACAAGGTCCCAAGGGACTTACGGACCACACGGCCCCGCCTCTCAACCAAATGCACACTCCCCGCGCCTGGTACCCATCTCCAGGTCACGGGCGCAGCTAACGCGCCGCTGCCACGGGCAAAATGCCACGCGGCTGGTGCAAGAACGACGAAAGCCGGTCTATCTGCCCGCAGCCGCCACATGCAATTGACACGGACAGTGTGCCCCGAGGGGTGTGCGGCGCTGACACCATGAGAACAGGTGCCAGGCCCCCACCCTCGGGGCAGGAGGAGGATGAGGAGGAGGAGGAGGAGGGGGAGGAGAAGGAGGAGGAGGAGCAGCAGGAGGAGGAAGAGGAGGAGGAGGAGGAAGAGGAGAGGAGGAGGAGGAGGAGGAGGAGGAGGGGGGAAGGGGAGGGTTGGGGGGTTGGGGGGAGGGCGGAGTAGGAGGAGGAGGAGGAGGAGGAGGAGGAGGAGGAGGGAGGAGGAGGAGGAGGAGGAGGAGGAGGAAACCCACGAGACACCAAAAATGTTGGAATACACTCTCCCTCCAAGCTCCCTCTTCGTAGGCCCCTACAACGGCTCATTTCCACCGAGCGAACTGCCTCGTTGGAAGACAACCGTTTGAAGACCCTGAAGCATGCCAAAACATTGTTGTCGGGATTCCAACGCCACGGGTCAACCTGACTGTTGCGTCTTGGGCAGGGTAATCAACACCTGCGCCCTCCACGGCTGGGGCGCGCATGCTGTGCTGACTGCTCACGCCGTCGCGGGAAGTCGTTGCGATGGAGCAGTGAACTTCGTAGTTCGCTACCTGTGACCCGTTGTCGGCTCCTGCTACGTAAAGAGGACACGACAACTTCTCGAGGGTGCGCCGCTGGATCTCCCCAAGGGGTGGGGGGGTTTAGGACCCCCCCCTCCCCCTTCCCCGATCCGTCGTCGGGGACCCCCCCCCTTCCCCCCCCCTCCCCGAGCCGTCGTCGGGGACCCCCCCCCCTCCCCCCCCCTTTTCCCCGATCCGTCGTCGGGGAACCCCCCCCCCCCTTCCCCCCCCCCTTTCAAAAGGGAGGGGGGGGGTCCGACCCCCCCCCCCCTCCCCCTCTTTCGCCACGCCGCCCCCTGACTCCGGAACCCGACCCCCGCCACCCCTACCCCTAGTCCTCACCCTAACCCAAACCCCTAATCCAACCCCCAACCACTAACCCCAGCCCCGAAGAGTACTCACTACTCATTACTCACTACCCACTTCTGACTACTCGCTATTCGCTACACGCTTCTCACTACCCCCTACTCACGACTCACTACTCACTATCCACTATTCACTACCCACCACCCACTACTCGCTACTCACTACTCCCTACTCTCTACTCCTCCTCCCTACTCACTACTCACTCCTCACTACCCACTATTCAATACTCACTACTCACTAAGCACTACTCACTACTCCCTACTCACTAATCACTACTTATTATTCACTACCCACTACCCACTACTCACTACTCACTACTAACTACCAATTGCCCACAAATCACTACTCAGTACCAACTACTCGCTACTCGCTATTCCCTACTCCCTACACAATACTGACTACACAGTGCTCAGTACTCACTACTCGCTACTCCCATACTCGCTACTCAAGACTCACTACTCACTCCCCACTACTCACTATTCCCTACTCACTACTAACTACTCCCTACTCACTAGTCACTACATAGTCTCCAGTCACTAGTCACAGCTCACTAGTCACTAGTCACTGGTCACTAGTCACTACCCACTACCCACTACTCACCAATCGCTACTCACTACCCACTATTCGCTACCCCCTTCTTACTACTTACTGCTCATTACTCCCCACTCCCTATTCACTACTCACTACTCACTACTCGCTACTCCCTAGTCGTTACTCACTAATCACTACCCACTACTCACCACTGACTATTCCCTACTCACTACTCACTACTCACTACGCCCTACTCGCTCCTCACTACTCACTACTCGCTACTCCCTACTCGCTACACCACTCACTACCCACTGCCACTACCCACTACTCTCTATTCATCACTACTCACTACTCACTACTCACTACTCACTACGCACTACGTACTACTCAGTACTCACTACTCACTACTCACCACTCACTACTCGCTACTCACAACTCACTACTCACTACTCACTACTCACTGCTCACTACTCACCACTACTCACTACTCACCAATCGCTACTCGCCACCCACTCCTCACTACCCACTACTCACTACCCACTAGTCATTACTACCTACTCCCTGCTCAGTACTCACTACTCGCTACTCACAAGCTATTACTCACTTCTCGCCACTCACTACTCACTTATCAGTACACACTACTCACTATTCACTACTCACTACTCCCCACTCCCTACTCCCTACTCCCTACTCGCCACTCACAACCCACTACTCACTACCCAATACTCACTACTCACTACGCACTGACTCACTACTCACTACTCACCACTCCCTACTCCCAACTCCGCACTCCCTACGCGAGGGGGGGAGGGGTCCGACCCCCCCCCCCCTTTCCAGCACCAAGGGGGGGAGGGGCGGGGGGGGGGGGCGGACCCCCCCCTTCAAGAGAAGGGGGGGGGGGTCGGGACCCCCACCCCCCCTTAAAGGGGGGGGGGGGGGGGGGGGCGGGTGGGGGCCCGGACCCTTCCCCCCCCTTGAAGGGGGGAAGGGGGGTGGGTTCTGGACCCCCCCTTTAGTGTATTCGGGGAGATCCACTGGCGCACTTTCCAACTTCTCCTCGGAGGGCTGCAACATGGCTCGCTGGGCCACGCGTGCCAAATTCGCAGCGAAACGCGCGCCCCAGAGGTTGGCCCTGGCGCCGGTGTCGACTATAACGCCAGACCGGCCACCTGGCTGGTTTGTGCTCGACAGGTAGCACGGCGAGACGTTTGATGGACTCGAGCCCGTGCCCGACGAGGTCGGCCACCACGGGGGCGTCGGCCTGCAGGGCGGTATGTGCATGTCTGGCTGGGCGTCGCAAAGAACCGCCATGTCCACTGCGGACGAGGCACTGCCCGGCGACCGCGCGAGGTCTGGCCGAGGCGCCCTGGGGGCTGGTGCCATCTGGGGAGACTGCGCGCGGTCCTGCTGCGGCGCGATCTCCACTGGCGCGCCCCTGTCCGACGCTGCGCGGGCCGGCAACGCAAATGCGGGAACCGCGGGTGCATTGTCTGCCGCCTCGCGGGCCGGCGCCGCAGGCGCCGGGACCGTCGGTGCAAGATCCGCACCCGCGAAGCGGAACTCGGCGATGACGTCGGCGCGTTCGCGACGTGCCGGACAGCGCACCAAACGGGCGTCTGTGCTCTGCGAAAGTTGCAGGTGTCATGCTTGATGCAGGATGTGGCGGCGCGGCAGGCGTGCCATCCACTGCTGGAGGCCGGAGAGGGCAGCCCCTGTCGTCGCCACCGAACGTCGCACTGAGGGAGGCGGAGCAATCGGCGCAGCGGCGGGCATAGGAAGAGGATTAACAAGTGTCTCCGTCCAACTCCGTGCGGCCTGGCGTCGTTGCTCATATTGCTGCCGCGCGAGCTCAAACGCCAGCTCTCCGCTGTGGAAGTTGTCGAGGTGCCGTCGTTGCGCATGGTCGAGAATGGCGTGCGCGTCGTGCTCGGATCGGCCGCCGCTGGACATCTAAGCGTCGCGGGCGGCGAAACACGTGGCCACTCTCCCGCGCGGCAGGCCGACATCGACAGGGCTGTTCTGCTTTAACAGAGCGCAGGGGGGAATCCGGCACAAGCAGCGACGCAGCTGCCGGCGCAGACCGCGGTGGCCGCATGGCGAACGATCCACGCGGCGCGCCGATGCCGATGGGCTGAGACTGAAGGCGCGTAAGCCCAGCTCGGCAACTGCACGTCGGCAGACCCTGGGCTTGCCCCTGCGAGAATGCACCGCCCATTTGCGTCCACCACTGTGGTGTTGCCGGTGGTTCTGGTGCCGCTGAGGCCGCTGGAGCTGCTGGTGTCGTTGGCGCTCCTCTGCGCGGGCGGCGATGCTCCCCCGCTGCTGCCGGGGCCTGGCGGCGCAATCGCCGGGGCCACCGGCGCTGCAGAGGCTTGCGCGCGGCCCGGGAGGTCGGCCATCTCCCGTCGTGGTCGTCGCAATTCGGATTCGCGCGGCGAGGCCGAGGGCGGCGGCGACGCCCCTGCTCGAGTTGACCAATGGCGGCGGCCCGCGGAGGCCACTGGGCTGCCGCGAGCCGCCCGACGAAGAGCTCGGAGTAGCCGCTGGTGCCGATGGCCGCGGCGCTGGCGCCGCTGACTGGCTGTCCGCCGTTCCGGACCGTTCCGGGGGTCTGCGCAGCGCAGTGGATGGCCGTTCCCGGCGACCCCGGCCACTGGCCGTGGAGTCTCGGAGGTGCCCATGGTCATCCAGGCTGCGCATGCTCCTGGCGCGGGCCGCTGCTCGGTCGGCCCCCGCGGCCTTTGCTGCGCCAGAATAGCAAGTGGCGAGGATAGCAGGGCTGGGGCGTAGGCGCCGAGAAAGAGAACGCGCCCTTACCAGCGGCGCCGGGGGTGGTTGCGCGCGAGGCGCTCATCGAAGTCGCATTCGTACGCGCGGGGCGCGCCCCGCCAGGGCGCGCGGGGTTGCCCTGGCGGCCCGAATCTGCCAGTGGTCCTGAACACACCTCTTACCTTTCCCCCTACTTTACCCTTCCCGAAGCCCGCGGAAGTCCCCCAGGGGTCGTTCTCTGACAAAATGGCTAGAAAAGCGCGGCAGCTTTTATCTGTGCCCGTGCCCTTCCGTTTGATGACCCTCCGGGCGTGGCTCGCGGGCTCGCGATTGGCGGAGCTGCGCCAGCGTGCTTCGGCGCGCTTCCGAGCCCGGGATAGGCGCGCACCGCGTTGTTTCGCGGGAATGTCGCGTAGCTCGGGGTCGTCGGCGGCCATCTCCTCGCCGAGTGAGCGAGCAGCGTCGGCGCCGGTGCCTGGATCGATCTCCGCCGCCCGGCGCGCCCACTGCGCCGGCGGTGCCGCGCTGGAAGCGCGGCCTCCAGGCGCGGCCTCGACAGGCCCAGGGGGCTCGGTGCCGATCCCAGCGCAGCGGGGCCCATGCCGCCCCAGCTCTGCCCCTTCGCGGGCGCGCCCGTGAGGGATGTGTGCGGGTGGGCAAAGTGGGCTGCCGAGGCGAGGTTGCCCGGCGATCCCTCTATCGTGTACCCAGAGCGTCTCGGCTGGCCCGCCCTATGAGCGAGCTGCTGAGCTTCGCGGGGTAGGCCGCGCTGCAGCGCTGTAGGAGCACGGCGAGTTGAGCGTTCGACGCGCCAGCGGCACGCAGCAGGAGGAAGCTGAGCCTCTCGCAACCGACCATGAGTTGACCAGCTTGCTGCGCCCGGTTGCGGAAAATGTCGTACCGCACCAGGTTGTCGACGCGCTCCCGCGGCAGTCGGTTGACGCTCGCCAGAGCCGATGCCGCAGAGGCGCGCTCCCCCTCGCCCGGCTGGCCCCATCGTTCGGCCAAGCTGCGCCTAAGACGAAAAGTCATCGGTGGCACTGGGTTGCCGTTGATGAGACCCCCCTGGATCAGGACCTCCAGCGGCCATTCGTCCACGCACTCGCGCGCCATGCCGGCAAGGCGCGGCGAGACGTAGGCCGCCTGGCGAAACTCATCGAGGTCTAATTTCGCCACTGACAAGATCATCAACTCGCGCACCAATTTCTGGAAAGGCACCCTGCTGCTCGGGCCCCTGGGCGCGGAGGTGGCGCGCGTTGCCGCTGCCGCCAACTGCGTCCGCGCAGGCGATGCCGCGTGCGACGGTGCACATGCCGACTCTGGTGGCCTACATGGAGCGTAGCATCCCCCGCATGTCGCACAGGTGCTGGAGGCTGGTGATCTTCATGAGTCGTCGAGGATCCTTGCCCCGAATGTGTTCCTCCTCCTCGGAGGATTGGGCGTCTGCTTCTGTCGCGTCACTGTAGTGCTCGCGGCATTCGAAGCATCCAGCGAAACAATCATGGGAATGCTCTTCGCACGTCGTGCGGTCACTGTACTGAACGCCACAAAGTGCACGATCGTCTGGAGGAGTGCGCATCGGAATCCCGCCCTGCCTGGCTGGCCCGTCAGAATAGGTAAAGCGAAGGGTCGGATCCCGAGGTGTCGAGCCTCGGAGCGATGGCGCCGCAGTCGTCATACCCTCCACCGCAGTACTTCGGGAATTTGGGAACACAGTTTCCATATTACCCAGTGCGCCCCCGCTCGGCACTGGCGACGCAGTCGGATGCCTCTTCTCTGCTTGCTCCTTCCCAGGGCATTCCAGACAGAGTCTCAAGAAACTCGGGGTCTTGTTCTGACACCGCAAATGTGAACTTTGTTTCGGACATCTGTTTGGCACATGAGGCTACCCCCCCAAGCGGGGCACCGACAGCTCGGGGCCCGCGAGCTGCCTGGACACAGTCCGACTGTGCCCAGGATGGGTTGCAGAGCGGCCCTTGTAGATCTTGAAGATGTTATCCTTGATGAGGTACTTCTGGTTGCGCACGTTCTCGGTCATTGGTCCTGGCGGATGGGCGGATGCCCCGACGGACCCTCGAGCAACGTCTCCTGCCATAGTGAACGGGAAGAGGTGCACGAAGGCGGAAGTGTTGAAGGCGGCATGCACGCTCCCAGCCGCGGGTCTTGGCGGTTGGGCCGGCACAACCCCGACGGACCCTAAAGGAACGTTTCCTGCCAGAGCGAAGGGGAAGAAATGCCCGAAGGCGTAGATGTTGAGGGCGGTTGGCCGAAGCAGAAGGCGGCAGAGGGTGGAAGCCATTGCGGTCGACGCGAGGCGAGACATGGCGGCCGTGGGGGGAGCAGGGGTGAATCTGCTCCACTACCAACTGAGAAGGAGGATGTTAGAAGGGAAGCGATGTTTCCCGTAAAAGAAGTACAGTGCATGATGGTCGAAGGCGGAATGTCTAAGGCGCGTCTACGGCGAGACTAAGGCGGGCACGGTGCACTGATCAAGCCTTGAGCCAAAATGGCGCAACGGGCCCGCAAAGGTGAGAAACAGGGCACTGGACAAGGAGCTACCGTTCGAGTAGGACCAGGTGGAAGAGGACCAAGAGCAGCACGAGGAGCACGAGGAGCATGAGGAGCATGAGGTCGAGGACCAACATCGGCGAGCATGATGATCAGGGCGAGGAGGATGCCGACGAGGACGAGGAGGAGGTGGAGGAGCAGGAGGAGGAAGAGGAAAAGCAGGGAGGAGGAGGAAAAGGGGGGGAGGGAAACCGGGGAGGCGGTGGACCTCCGGACAGGTCCGGGCAGCAAGATCAGCGTGACGTCATCCACCTCGCCGAAGCGGCCCAGCCACGTCTTGAACTCTACGTTCGAGTACGTGTGCAGCGGCGGGATGCGCTGCAGGAAGACCTCCCGGGCAGCGCCCGTCCAGCGGGAGCCACCTCGGACACCCCTCCCCGCGCCCGTCGTCTTAATCCTTGTACCCCCCTCCTCTCACCCCTAACCTCCTTCGTGGGGACGCCTGGCGGAGGAGACGGAGGAGGAGGAGGAGGAGGAGGACCGAGGAGGAGGGCTGAGGACCGACGATCCAGGAGGGGGGGGGGACCGATGACCGAAAACCGAGGAGGGTCGAGGAAGAGGCGGAGGAACAGGATCGAGGATGAGGATCGAGCGGAGAGGGGGACGGGGGGGGGGCTGGGACGGCGGGGCGCGTTGGAGGCCCCCGGGGGGAGCAACGAGGTGCCGAGACCGCTGCTCCTGGTCTTGCCCTCCTGCTCCTCCTCCTCCTCCTCCTCCTCCTTCTCCTCCTCCTCCTCCTCCTCCTCCTTCTCCTCGTCCTTTTCCTCCTCCTCCTCCTCCTCGTCCGTTTCCTCCTCCTCCTCCTCCTCCTCCTCCTCCTCCTCCTCCTCTGGATCCCCGGGGGCAAATCCAGCCGTGGCAACGAGGGACGGGCAGCGGCGCCGGTGCAGCCTCCGCCTGGGGAGCGGCATCGAGGGAGCGAGAGGGAAGCGGCTCCTCGCTGGGACCCGTTCGCCTCGCACTCGCACCGCGCACCCTTCCGATCCGGCTGCGCTGTACCCTCGGCAGCGCAGAGACAGCGTGCAGCAGCCTCCGAGAGGCACGCTGCTCCCAAGGCTGCCCCCGCGCACGCGGCCCCCGCGAGGCGATCCCCTCTGCGAGGGCCCCTTCGCTGCGCGCCCTGCCCCTGCCAGGGCTTCCTCGGTGCACGCGGTCCCCCCTCGAGGACGGCCTGAAGTGAGCGTGCCGGCGGCCCACATCGCACGCTATCTTGCAGGGGCCTCGGGACACACAGCTCAATACACACAAATGACAGGATCCCCCCTATTTTCCCATGTCTTCGGGCTTCTTGTCTCCCCCACCACTTCCCCTATTTTCCCATCTTTTCCTGGGGATCGACGATGAATCGTGTCTGTGTGTGTTTTCCCCTCCTGATATCCTTCTAACACCAAACGTGCGCAAATGGGCGCCGCAACCCCGCCGCTGGGGGCTGGGGGGGCGGAGGGAGTCGTGCCGCCGTCCTCCAGCGGCATCTCTCTGGGCCTCTCGCGGCCAGGCGCCCAGGATCCCGGAAAGCACAGAGAAATCGGCAGGGCCCCTTTCCCTCGAGGCCCGCCCTGACTCCAGGTCCCCGCCGTACTTTGGTTGGCAGCGTGTCGAAAATGCACCCCGAACGATGCAAAAACGTAGGGCGGAAGTTCCCGCCACGGAAAATGACTTCTTACGAGACCGCCCCAACCCAACCCGAAGACCCGAATGTCGAGTTGGGGGGGTACGTGCTTCGTATGTGTTTTTCATGTTCCCCGACACCCCCCACTGGAAATGGAGGGCAAAAACGGGGCCTTCGGGTTGGGTTGGGGTGGTTTGGTGGGCGGTGAAAAAAGTAGGGCGGATATTTCCACAAAGGCAAGACGGAAGCAGCGACGGCAAAGCAGAGCGTACATCGGCATCAGAGGAGCTTGAAAACGGGGGCGTAAAGTTCTGCCGCACTTGCGAAATCGCCCAAAGTGCGTCGGATCCGGTGTCAAGGAGCTTGCTCCGTGGCGGTCTGAGTCGCAAAGCCACCGGTCTCCCTCGCGGGCGCCAGCTCGTCGATGTACAGGTTCAGGAGGCCCCCCTTTCGCGGCGGAGGGGGAGGAGGAGGAGGAGGAGGGGGAGGAGGAGGGGGAGGAAGAGGTGAAATACGAGGGGGAGGAAGAGGAGGAGAAGGAGGAGGAGGACGGGGAGGAGGAGGAGGAGCAGGAGTAGGAGGAGGAGGACCAGTGTAAACCGAAGAGTCATTAACGATGTTGAAATAAACCCTCATTCCAAGCTCCCTCGTCACAGGCCCCTACGAGGGTTCGTTTGAAGACCTAGAAGCATTCCAAAACATGGTTCTCGGGATTCCAACGCCACGGATCAACCTGACTGTTGCGTCTTGACGATCCTGAATCGTGCCAGAACGCCATACTTCAACACCGCGAATCAAGGTATCTGTTGCGCCCTCATAATCCTGAACCCTTCCAAAACACCGTTTCTGGTACGTTGATGATGGGAATATTGAAGCTCTTGCAAATTGGTCAAACCAACACGCGCGGCACTGAAGCGGGAGCCACATTTTGAAAACGACCCTCCCTCAATCCGTGAAACTCTTGCACATGTTTAAAATGAATGTGCGCGGCACTAAAGAAAGAACCCAATTCTGAAAAGGACCTGCCCTCAATCCGTGAAACCCTTGCAAATGTTTAAAACGAATGTGCGCGGCGCTAAAGCGAGGACCACATTTTGAAAACGACTCGCCCTCAATCCGCGAAACCCTTGCAACCGATTATAAATAATGTGCGCGGCGCTAAAGCAAGAGTCACATTTTGAAAACGACCCGCCCTCCATCTGTGAAACTGCTGCCAATGTTTAAGCTTCAGGGTCATAAGTGGTGAGGAAGTCTCAGACAAAACGCCCTGCCCGCTCTGCAAACTTGCCTCGGGGTGCGACAGGGAGAACATATTCACAAGGAGAAGGAATACAAGAGGAGAGAGGGAGAGGAACGAGGAGAAGGAGGCGGAGGAGGAGGAGGAGGTGGAAGTGGAGGTGGACGAGGAGGTGGAGGAGTTGGAGTTGGAGTTGGAGTTAGAGTTGGAGTTAGAGTTGGAGTAGGTGGAGGAGGAGATGGAGGCGGGGGAGGGGGAAGGAGGAGATCGAGGAGGAGGAGGAGGAGGAGGAGGAGGAGGAGGCCCCCCTCCTTCGAGGGAGGGCGCCAACCTCGCTAACGCTGGCCAGCTCCAGCCTCGGCCCAGGATCGGTGCGTACGCCCTGCCGGCCTGGCCCGGACGCCATGCAGCATTCGCGCAGGCTGGCAAGCTCTGCGATCGGAGATCTACGGGCACGTCTGCCGTCGAACACCGAGCTTTCCGAGGCGCCTCGTGGCTTCTGCATTTCCCGGGGGCAAGCGGGGAATCTGAGAAGCTTCCCTGGGGCACCTGCTGGCAGGCCTGCTTCTCAACTCCCGTGCCGACGGGATACGCTCCGATCCTGGGCACAGGATCGGCCTGGCCAGGATCGGTGTAAGTGTGTTTATGTGTGTATATACATAGCCACAGACGTCCGACGATGCCATTTCGTTCAAAAGAAACGCCCGGCCTGCCACGCCGACCCGTCTCGGGGTGCGACAGGGCGCAGCTATGTGTCCAGAAAAGGAGGAGGAGGAGGAGGAGGAGGAGGAGGAGGAGGAGGAGGTAGAGGCTAAAGGAGAGGAGGAGGAGGAGGAGAAGGAGTTGAGGTGGAGAGGAGGAGGAGGAGGTGGAAGAGGACCATGATGATGATGATGAGGATGAGGAGGAGGAGGAGAGGAGGGTTGAGGAGGAGGAGGAGGAGGAGGAGGAGGAGGCTGGAAGAGGACCAGGTGGATGAGGAGGAGGAGGAGGAGGAGGAGGAGGAGGAGTTGGAGGAGGACGAGATGGAGGAAGAGGACGACGTGGCACCCTCCGACCTCGGGCAGGTGTGGGCCCATCGCCGACGAGGGCCGCGCGTGCGCCCGCGCGCGCTGGGCCCATGCGCGGCCGCGGCGCGGCCCAGGCGCGGAGCGGCTCCCGCCGGCCGGCGCTGGGCGGCCCCGCACGTGGGCTTGGAGCCCCTACTGGCTGGCGAGAGGCTGCCGATCGCCGTCGTCGTCGTCCTCCTCCTCCTCCTCCTCGTCCTCCTTTCTCCTGCTCCTCCTCCCTCCTCATCCCTCGTCCTCCTCCCCCCTTCTCCTGCTCCTCCTCGCTCCACCACCTCCATCTCCACCTGCTTCTCCTCCTCTTCCTGCTCCTCAATCTTCGTATGCGAATCCACCCTCTATGTACGCCTCCGAGCCTCTGTCCCCTGTCCCCTGTCCCTGGCCCTGCTCTGCTCCTTCTACTCTTCCTCTTGCTCATTCTTCCTCACTCCCTGATGTGCCTCCTGACTCTGCTGATGTCCATCCCCCTCCTCCTCCTCTCCTCCTCCTCCTCCTCCTCCCCTCCTCCTCCTCCTCCTCCTCCTCCTCCTCCTCCTCCCCCTCCCCCTCCCCCTCCTCCCCCTCCTCCCCCTCCTCCACCTCCTCTCCTACCCCCCCCTACCCCCCACCTTCTGCTCCACTTCTCTGGGCCACCGATTCCAAATCAGCCCAGCCAAAATGAAAGGAAGGTCCCATGTCGGGTCGCCCCTGTGCGCAGAGAGCCTCAGTGCCGTAGTGCCTGCCGGCGGCAGCCCTGCGAAGGGCAGGCCAACGCTCCCCTCGTCCTTGTGGTCGTCGTTGCAGACCCCTCTTTCTTCGCTTCTTTCTGCTCATCCTTCTCCCCCGTCCCTTCTCCAAATGAACAGCTCCTCCCTGCCGCACCCGAAGACACGTCGGTAGGGCGGGCGGGGCGTTTGGCGTGACACACCCTCACTACTTACGACCCTGATCCTTCAGTTTTGCAACAGCTCCCAGGATGGAGGGCAGGTGGTTTTCAAAATACAGTTCTCGACGCCGCGCCGCGCACCTTCGTCTCAAGCAGCCTGCACATGTTACTGGGATAGAGTACAGGTCGCTTTCAAAATGGAGCTGCCGCCAAAGCGCTGGGCACATTCCTCTGCTGTATCTCCCAACAGCTACAATGATAGAGTAGGGGCGCGTTTCAATATGCGGCTACCGCCTCTAGCCGCGCGCATCCGAAATTTGCAGCAACTTCGCTGGCGCAGGGGAATCGTATGGGATAATGCATTAGCGCCTCGCGCGTTCGTCCTGAATGTTTGCAATAGCATCAAGGATAGAAAGGGGGGCCTGTTTCAAACTGTGGCTCTCGCCGTAACACCGCGTATAGTCGCTTCACAATTTGCCAGCAGCATCACGGATGGAGGGCGGTTCCTTTGCAAAGTGTGGCTCTTCCCTGAGCGCCGCGCGCGTTCGACTTAGACTCTTGCCGCCGTTCCAATTATGGAGGTCGGCTCCTTTTCATGGCGGAGCTGTTGTCGTAGCGCCACGTACACTCGTCTCAAGTGTTTCGGCCTGTACAAGGATGGACCACAGCTCCTTTCCAAGATGTGGCTCTCGCCTCAGCGCCGCGCACATTCGCTTTCACAGCTCGCAACACGTAGAAGGGTCTTTTGTCAAATTGAGCTTTTCGCTCGAGCTCCAAAATTAAAAGATCCGAGACTTCAACACCTGCACCACTATGGGCCCGGGGCGGTTCTTAACGCTTCCGCAAAGCTTATGACTACAAACGTAAGATTATGAAACACTTGCACGAGTGGGGCGCGGTCCTTCTTCGAGCATGGATATCGCTGGACACATCGCGGACCTGTATGATGATAAGTTGCTTGAGTTCCTGATTTCGCGCAGAAGGAGGAAGAGAGAGGAGGAGGAGTAGGAGCGAGTAGGACAGTAGGACGGAGAGGAGGAGAGAGGAAAAAGGAGGAGGATGAGGAGGAAGAAGAGGTGGAGGAGGAGGAGGAGGTAACGAGGAGGAAAGGAGGAAGAGGAGGAGGAGCAGAAGAGAGGAGGAGGAGGAGGAGAGATGAGGAGGAGGAGGAGGAGGCAGGAGGAGAGGAGGAGAGAGAGGAGAGAGGAGGAGATAGGAGGAGGAGGAGGAGGAGGAGAGAGGAGGAGAGGAGGAGGAGGAGGAGGAGGAGGAGAGGAAGGAGGAGGAGGAGGAGGAGGAGGATGAGGAGGAGGAGGAGGAGGAGGAGGAGGAGGAGGAGGAGGAGGGGGATGAGGAGGAGGAGGAGGAGGGGGAGGAAGAGGAGGAGGAGGAGGAGGAGGAAGAGGAGGCGGAGGAGGAAGAGGAGGAGGAGGAGGAGGAGGAGGAGGAGGAGAGGAGGATGAGGAGGAGAAGAGGGTGAGGGAGGAGGGGAGGGAGGGAGGGAGGAGTTAAGGTACCCTGAAAGAGACGAGGCGAGGGCAAGCGGGCACGACGCGAGACGAGGGCAAATGCTGATCGTCCGCGGCGCCCGAGGCGAACTCTTCTCACCTGTAAAGCAGCGCGTTGGCAGCTCGGCGCGCTACGGCCATCGCCGCAGGGCGGGAGCTCGGGTCGGTGTGCTGTTTCATGTGGTTACAAATGTGAAGCGCCAGCGTGATGCGCTCAATCGTCGAGCGCAACGAAAGCGGAGCCTGACTCTCGGGTGGGTACGCAACTGCGGGCCCCAGGCCCCAGGCAGCGAGCGTCGAACGGGAGGGGGGGAGGTCAGGGGACCAGAGGAGGCTCGAAAGCGAGGGGCAGGTGAGGTAGTGGGGAAATGAATCCGGCTGGCTCCCGCACCCGAAAACGCGTTGTTTCGAGGCGAGCACGTGCATGGGCCCAGTGGTGGTCCAGCCACCGCACAGTGTCTTAAAAGTGGCCCAACGCCAACTAGGGCGCACAGTTTTGGGTGATTCCGTGAGGTCGGCCCAGCGCTTTTGGAGCTCTCCTGGCTCCGTCGGCGCCTGGAGGCCCCAAGCCGCGATGCGTTTGTGCAAGGTGACGGAAAATGGCGATGCCAAGGCATGCTCCGCGAGCCTGCGCGCGAACGTGCGCTGATATTTCGGCCGACGGGGTGGGGCGGACACTGCGGCCTCGCGCTGTTCGAGGCGCGCGGTGCCTACGGCGGCTTTGACGGCTGGGCGGGAACAGGCTTTTGAGGCTGGGCTCCGATGAGGGAGCGGTAATGCTTTACGAAGGACTGACGAGACGACCAGAAGGCGGGCGACCACTCGCCAGCCTGCCAGCGAGGCGCGTTCTGAAGGGTAGTTTCCTCCCATGATGCGTCAGCGAAGCGCTCAACAAACTGCCTCCAGTCGCCCGCGAGAGTGACGGCAGCGGAGCGGGCAGCAGCAGCAACAGAAGTGGTCTGATCAGACTGCGGCACGGGCGGAGGGCTCCACCACGCCGCGGCAATGACATCAACTTTGCGAAGTGAGTTCGGGGGGGCTATGCATCTCATGGAACACATGCAGTTCACGGCGTGCGATCAGTGGCTGAAGCGGGAAGAACTGAGCGACGTAGCTCAGCTTAAACCGGACTGAGGTATTGTAAAGGCGAGCTGCGGTATCACTGCCACCCTGAACTCGGCGAAGGAGATTTCCCCGTCGCCACCATGTTTGCCCTGGTTCGAGCCACTGCAGGGCCAGCGAGGCCTCGGGGCCAAGGAACGTGCCAAGATATTTGGAGGAGCCCGCGACAGAGAAACCGCCCCAGGAAGGGCCGAGCTCGGCCAAAGGGGTTTGGTTTGGGCAATGGTGACTGGGGTCGCCGCGGCCCAGAGCGGGACGGCGAAGCACTTGCGAGGCTTTAGCGAGAGGGGCGCAAGCTCCTCAGCTGCGGCGAAGGGCTCAGATGCGCGGCGCAGCGTGTCGAAGGAGTAGACCAGCAGCCCGATGTCGTCCGCGCAGGCGCCGATGTAGCCAGCGTCCAGATTCGGGGCGCCGTCGCGGTGCTCAACGAACGTGGCGAGTTGGCGGATAAGCGGCCCCATGGCGATGGCCCATGCCGAGCCCGAGGCAGGACAACCCTGCGCAACTCCAGACTCTATATGGCGAAGATGGTGTGCATGACGCCTTCGATATTGATGTAACTGTTCGGCGCATAGTACAGCGCGCGGAAGAGGTTCATGAGGCCAGCTGGGATCCCGAAGTGCTCCAGCGCGGCGAAGAGCCAAGCCCGCCCCAAGGACGGGAAGGCGGCAGAGAAGCCGGAGCTCGCGAAGAGGGCTTGGCCTGAGGAGCTCCAGAGGGTAGTCCAGCGCGCCTGATCTTCGTCGGAGCGAGCGATGTGCTTGGTGAAGTTGCGCTTCTGTACGAAGCCCTGTTGAGCTATGTGGGTGCGCTCTTTTACAGCGCCCTTGATGAGGTAGTTGGCTGCCCCAGCGATGGCCTGAATATCAATGTTCTCCAGCGAGGCTGGGCGAGTATCTTCAGGGGCTCGGTCTGTCGAGAGTGCGACAGCGGCGTTGTCGTCCTTCGGCAGGAAGGCGAAGTCGGAGTCGCTCAGGTCGCGGATGAAGTACAGGCCAGAGCAGAGGAAGAAGGACACGTCCTCCAAGAGAGTCAACGAGGCATCGCGTGCGAGCCAGGCGGAGCACGGCAAACAGTCGGGCCCTGGAGCAGACGGCGAGGTGCGCTGGAGGAAGGCCTTGATCTGCGGCTTCGCGGGGGCCCCGATTTCCAGGATCTCGCCCTTCGGCGCGCGCGTGTGGATGCAGTTGGTGACCTTGGCCTCGTCGACGGGCTTGGCGGCGGAGACGGGCTGCCAGTGGTCGCGCAGGACGTTGACCATCGTGCCGCTCTCTCTCTCTCTCGCTCTCTCTCTCTCTCTCTCTCTCTCTCTCTCTCTCGCTATCTTGGGCCCATCTGGGCCCGTGACTTTGATTCCCTGGAGGACAGTGCGGCGCTTCCAGGGGGCCCGGGGGAGAGCCCGACGCTGGGCGGCCCGAAGGATCTCGCGGAGCTTCTCAGGGCCGAGGGCGCCATCGCGCCCCTGCGTGCGTTGTGCGGCTTGCTGCGCGAGAGAGAGTTGCCGAGCCTCGAAGTCGCGGTTCAGCTGCGAAGCGAGGCTGGCGAAGACGGCAGGCTCGTTGATCGCGATGGCGCCGCTGGAGATGTTGACG